AAATTAATACATACAATCACTCTAAGGTTAAAGCTTCAACAGTGAATTTTGCAGAGAACACAAGTCAGACTATAACAACATGTATACCTAACGAAATGCTGTCAACCAAATGGCAAATGTAAGATAGTAACTGTAGGAAAGGTGGAAGACTATACAAACATTCTTTGGGTCTTTCCGGCCACTTTTCTATTTTTGAAATGTAATATTTTTGTCCCCAGAGGGCTTGGGGTAAGGCAAATATACAGTGAACAGAAGAAAAGGAATATGCTGCTTATAATCCTCATGCTAACAGATTAGAAAAGGTTGTATGAGTTGGCACATGGCTCAAAGCTTATGTGACAAGGGAAAGTGATACCCGAACTAGTTCAGTTTTCAGCAAGCAGTATTAAGGAGGCATCTGAGGGTCACCTGAGCTTGTAGCCATGACTGTGAAGAAAGAAAGGATACAGACAAGCACTGCTTTCTACGTACCAATTTATTTATTCAGAAGCAGTCTCTTGCACTGTAGTTCAGACTGGCCTTGAACTCACAGCAATCCTTCTGCCTCAGACTCTCAAGTGCTAGGATATAGGCATGTACCACCATCCCTGTCTAGGCCCTGTTCTAAAGAAGACTAATCTTATCTCACTGTAAAGTTTTAGAAATTCTCTTTTCTCAAAATGTTAATTGTTTTATTTGTTTGTTTGTTTGGGGTTTTTTTGAGACAGGGAATCACTATGTACTTCAGGATTGCTTTGAACTTACTATGTAGCCCCCAGGCTGGCCCTTAAAGGCATAGCAATTCTCCTGCCTCAGCCTCCCAAGTTCTGGAATTACAGATGTGCGCCACCACTCCTGGCCCAAAACATCAACTCTTAAGAGTGAAACTATGTGCTGGGCGTGATGAACCTTAATCTCTGGACTCAGGAGGCTGAGGAAAGAGGATCACTTCAATTTTGAGGTCCGCACAGACTACACAGTGCCTTCTATAAAGACTCAAAAAGCAAAACAAATGAAAAAGTGAAACTATTGTGAACATTACCGTATTTTTTAATATGCTTATCAAAAGGGCTTGCCTCTATGCTCCCCATAGTATTATATTGAAATTACGTTTGTGCAAAATATCTCCCAAATTTTAATTCAAATTCTGTGGGTGGAAGAGCTCAGGCTCCTCTGGAGCAAGCTGCAATCAGCCTTTCTGCTTGCTCTTGCCTTGCCTACCACAGCGAACATCCGTCCTTCTCTGGTGTTTTGTTGCATTCTTTCCTCTGCCACTCCTCCCTCAAGGCTGTACCCAAGGCTGCCTGGCTTCTAGGCCTCCATACCCAGCTCTTCACTGCAATGTCAGTAATTTCTCTTCCAAATAGATCTCAGTTTTATCTACCTCACTCCTCCTTGACCTGGTCCTGGTGAACGCTACCTCCTACCCAGACAAATACAGTGATCTCTTAACTGCTTCAGTCCCCACCTCCTTTTGTTTACTTACTTATTTGGTCTTTCTGAGACAGGATCTCACTGTGTAGCTCAGGCCAGCCTTGAGCTGTTGGCTATGTTCTTGCTCTAGGCTCCCAAGTGCTGGGTTTACAAGTCTGTGCCGCCACCAGGCTACAAACTGACATGAGGAAGGAATGTGATCTGCACAGGACTATATTGCTACCCAGTATCCCTGCAGAGATTCCAAACCTTGGCATTTCAGTGACAGCATGTAAACTTGTGACCACGGCACCACAGTGTTCAGTGGTTTGATTTCTTTTTTGGTTTGATTTCTTTTTTATTGGTACCGGGGATCGAACTCACGACCGCCTGCTTGCAAGGCAGGTGCTTATGCCGCTGAGCTAAATCCCCAGCCCCAGTGGTTTGATTTCTTAAAGAGTGGATAGCATCATGCTTCTGAAGCCCTTCCAGTTGTTGACTACTTTCTTTCAAACAGGCCGAGATTCTTAATGGCTGGTTTCATCTCCCTTCACTTTACCCTTTGCCTGTTACACTCTGTCACACTAGTTTCTTTCAGTTCCTTAATCACAGCAAGTTCTTGCTTGCTTCAAATCCTTTGCACACTCTATTGACTCGGAGCAGGGATTCTCTCTCTTCATTTGGCTAACTGATGTTCTAGGGACCTAGCTTAGATGACATCTAAACTCAATCTCTGTGTGTGTGTGTCTGTCTGTGTCTGTTTCTCTCTTTTTGTCTCTCTCTTTGAGACAGGGTTTCACTATGTAATCTCGGCTGCCCTTGAATTCAGAACGATCCTCCTGTCTCAGCCTCCTGCATGCTAGGATTACAGGCATGCATCACTCAGCCTCAGTCTCTCTTTGATGACTCCTGTCACAATTCCCCTCTCCTGCTTTTTTGAGACAGGGTGTCATGCTATTGCTTTGGCTGTGCCTCAAACTCTCCATTCTCCTGACTCAGCCTCACAGAGTGCTGGGATTACAATTCTGTACCACCTCATTAGCTTTATGTTAGTTACTGGGAGTTGAGTTTGGGAGCTTTGCACTGAGCTACATCTCCAGCCTCTTTTTTTTTTTAATGAGATAGGGTCTTGCTGTGCCACTAAATTGTGTACAGGCTGGGCTCAGACTTGTACTTCTCCTGCCTCGACCTCCCAGAGTGCTGAGTTTACATGCTTTGCCATCATAGCCAGCCTGCCACATTCTCTTAATGCTCTTAGTGATTTTTGTGCTTTTCCTCACAGCAGCTACCACAATTTGTAATTAAACATCATCTACTGGTGTTTTGTAACTGGTGTAACTATCTGACTGGTGTAACTATCTGACTAATTGGCATCTTGTGCACCTGAATGTCAGCTCTAGGAGATCAGAGGCCATATATTTTGTTCATCAATGTATATGGCTAACAGGTATGATCTTGGATAAAAGATAGTTTCAAAGTGGAAACTGTCACATGGCTTCTTTCCTTGGGTTTTGGGTGTCAGATGCATTGAGATTTCTCTCTCATAGTCTGCAACCTGAATCCTGAGATAATGGGCAGGAACATCACAGAACTTTACTGTCTTTTTTCACTCACCTGTGACAGAGACTAAAACTTGAGCCCCTGAGAGTACCACCTGGCTGGGAGGCAGGAACTTACAGTGACCACAGTGAGAGGAACCTGAGCATGGGAGAGGTTGCTGGGGTAAAATGAATTTTGCAAATGATGGGGCAGAATACACTTACACAGAATAAAATACACTTACACAGAATAAAAATGCAAGGTTGCAAGTCCTGCTCAAGGAAGACTGAAAGGAAGTTGTGTGATGAGTAGGTCTGGGAGCTGGCAGAGAGCTACAGGAGAGTCGAGCCTGGAGGCTCTGTAATTTGCCGCATAGCTTCTGTTTTTAGCATCTGCTGTAAGCAGATGGTGTGCAGTGATCTCTTTCTGGCTGAGCCAAAGAGAGAATAAAACTTCCTCAGTCTTTGTATAGCCTCTGTCTGGTGGGGCACAATTCATAATTAGCAGTTTTCTCCTGTTCATCCTCTCTTTTACCAAGAAATCTTATCTTTGAGCCTGAAGTGGAATATATTGATATCCTGGTCAAATACTGAACTGGGAGTTTCCCTAACCCCTAAAGTTTCCTCCTTCTCTCCCTAAAACAAACTCTATCAAAAGTTTTTAAGTAATCAGTTTTCATGAACTTAATAATTCTCCAACTTGAAGAATAATCCCATTAAATAATGGGAAAAAATTCTCGAGTTTCTTTATTCTCATGGGAAATTCTGTTGCTTTTGTTTTGAGACAGGGTCTTGCTGTGTAGTTCAGGCTGGCCTTGAACTCCCCGTGGAGCCCAAGATGGCCCCAAATTCATGGTGACCCTCCTGCTTCAGCCTCCCAAGTGCTAGGTTTACAGATGTGCCACAACAAGCCGTTCATGTTATATTTTTATGATAACTATATTATATAAATAGTTACTATAAAAGCATGAGTCTGTGTCCTTATGTTTCTAGCTTCTGTCCAGCTATATCAAATTACAGTTTTAAATTACAAACAAAACTACAAAAGTTAAAATAAAAATTGACATCATTAATGATGATGTTTGCTATTAATTTAGGCATGACAGGTGATGTTTGCATGAAGTTAAAGCAATACGACTATCATGGTGACACCAAAAATTTTTACACTGGGCCTCCCCACATTATTGGCTGAGCTATTTGACCCAAGTCTCCCACCGTTTCCTTTGTTTTCTTCTTTCCACCAGGATGTTATTTAGCTGTGACTTAGTATTAGTGGATCCTTATCCCACACAAAAACCTGTCTGTGAATGTTCATGGTGGTGTTATTTGTAATTGCCACAAAGTGGAAACAATCCAAACGTCCATCGACAGATAAAATGTGGTATATTCCCTAGTTGAATACTATCCATTCATAAAAAAAGAATAAATTCATTTTAAAGGTCACTTAAACAATGAACTTTAAAATATCTTACAAAATGGAGTTGCAAAAGATCACTTATTGAATGTTTCCATTTACAGGAAGTGTCCAAATTCGGTAAGTTCATTGAAATATGAAATAGACTAGTGGTTGCCAGTAAAGCTAATGGGCATAGGATGAAAATGTTCTAGAATGAGATAACAGTGACAATGGTTATGTAACTTGATGGATACACACGCACACAAAAACTGGAAAGTACAGTTTATGTTATATTTATTTATTTAGTGATATGATAGGGAATGACCCCAGGGCCCTGTGCATGCTAGGTGGTGCGTACATTATAAAAAGGTGAATTTTTGCTATGAAAATTTTCCCCTTATTAAAATCAGATTTTTTTTTAATAGGAGAGCTGGACAGTTGTCACAGAGGCCTTTCCTCTGCCTAGAGAGAACAGACTGAACACAGTAGCACTAAACATGACCAAGAGCCATTCGTCCTTTCGGAGGGCTGTGGTCCGCACCACACCTCCCGGCAGAGGGAAGTCCCAGTTTGCGGAATGCTGATTGGCTGACTCCTAAAAGGAGGCGGGGAAATAGGGGGCCGCTGGTCCTCCTTGGCAGGCAGGGGCGGGGCGAAGTCTTGGCTCGCGAGATTTTGCTGTTCCGCATTTCAGGTCTGCGGGGTGGGGAAAGAAGGAGCGGCGGCAGCCTCGGTCTGCACCGTCTCGCAGCAGCTCTACACCGGCTGGGATCCCGGCTTCCGCGGTCTGAGAGCTGAGGGACCGTCCGCTGCCTCTCAGTTCCCGCGCAGGTTCCGAATCTTGCCCGGGGTGGGGGCCAGTGGCCCCTTCCCTGCCCTCCGAGGACCGAAGATGAGCTTCCTCTTGTGAGTGGGGCCGGGCCCGGGGCGCCAGACTGCGGGCTGAGGTCGGGGGTCTGGGTCGGGGTCGGGGGCGGTGGCGGTGGCGGTGGCCTGCGTCCGCCCTGTCCCTGTTCGGTTCCGGAAGGTGGGGAGGGGAGAGACGAAGCCGACGGTGGTGAAGGTCGAGGCGGAGGAAGTGGAGCGAGCGGTTGGGGAGTTGAAAGGCCCCGAGGCCGGCTGCGCCTCCAAACTTTTCCGCCCGAGCGCCCCTGAGGGCGGAGAGACGATCTGGGGCGGAGCGCCTGGCCCGGCTGCGAGCTCCCTGTTTCTCTCAAGTTTCGATCCTCTTTGGTAAACGATTCTTGCTGACTTAGCTCTTCGACTCTGTTATTACTATTTAGTTTCATTATTGTCAAGTGTTCATTTACCCGCGTCGAAAAATGCTGCCCCAGGAGAGTGTGAACGCCTTACTTGGAGGATCTTGAAGTTACATGTAGGCCTGCAGCCAAATCCTTCTGTCCTAGTCTGGTTCTGCCCACATTGATTTTGTGACCTTAAATACTGCTGTCCTTGGTAGAGTCTTGTTTGAAATAATACTTGGGCTCAAACGAGGCTTAATTGGACAAGTTTGTAAATTCGCTGATCACTGTTAGGTATGTGGGGGTTTAAGCTCTGGCACCTTATTCTCAGGTAGTGTTCTCCACCTTAAATATTATTAAACTGTTTTATGATCCAATATGTGATCATTTTTAGTTATGAATGGAATCCGCTAGCTTGACGTTTTGTTTTGCCGAATTACAGTGTTTCATAACCAGAACTACCTACTTCTTTAATGTGAGAAATGTGAATTCTTTCGAGTATATTGCTGTTATAAAATAGCATTACTAAAAGTTTCTGTCTGAATTTCATTTTTCCTGCCTTTAAATTATTTCCTGATGGGTATAGGCACCAAAAAATGGTCATCATGTCAAAAAGTCTTAATGATTTAAAGCCTGGCGCGGTGGTGCATGCTTGTACAGTTATTCCCGCTGCTTGGAGAACCCAGAGTTCAAGACCACTTCATCTCAAAAAATAGGTTAAATTACTGATGTCCATATTATCAGAAGTATTAGACTCGTAAGGCACATCCAAGTCTGAGTTGATATTTAGTTAGAAATTTGTCTGTGGATGCACCGTTGTTGCCTTTTGGACCTAAATATTTGGCTTTATTTCTTTGAAACTTTGTCGTTTTTATGAGCATTATGTTTTACACTTTCTGGCTAATTTGAATAATGCTGTCATGAACATTTTTGTACAGGTTTTTGTGTGGATATGTGTGTTCCTGTTTCTTGGATGTATACATTGGAGTGCAGTTGATTTGTATCGAACCTCTGTTTTACCTTTTGAGAAAATGCTAAACTTTTTCTAAAAAGCACCGTGCCATTTCATGTTTACAGCAGTGCTGTGTGAGGGTTGCAGCTTCCCCACACCCTCTGTAGCACTTGCTAATGGTAGCCATCTAAGTATGGAGTAGAAATTCTTAATTTTGATTTGTAATCCCCTGATGACCAATTATATTGAACATCTTTTTTGTTTATTGGCCATTTGTACATATTCTTTAAAGTCCGTTTAGATCCTCTCCTTTGCCCATTTTTAAATGGGATTGCCCTTTTGCTTTCAAGCTGTAAGAGTTTTTATTGGCCATAGTGCTTTTATCACATCTGAGATTTGCACATATTTTCTTCTATCCTGTAGATCATTCTCACGAGGTTGACAATGTCATTTGAAAGACAAAAGTTTTAATTTAGATGAAAATCATATTGAGTCTTAAGACGTGATTACTGTTTTCCATAGTCTCTTGTCATTTCTGTGTATCCAGGACTCGTCCTTCTAATTTAATACTTTCCTATTCAGTGTGACTTTTACCACATTAAAAAGAAACTGTCCATATTTGATTTTTAATATTTTCATATTCTTTTTAAAAATTTCTTACACTTATTTAAAATTCAATTAAGACATATTATGTAAATGTACCAACTCCCTATGATGAATATAATCCTTATATGGTACAAACATGTACTAATGAGATTTTTAAAAAATAGATGAAAATTTCTCAAGTAAAGTAAAGGTTCACAGTTCTTTCCTCTCCCTTTCCTAGAAGATCACCACCTTGTGTGCATTGTTCTGATACCTTCTGTGCATTCAAAGGGGTCTTGCTGTACATTTGGTTCTGTAATGTGTTTAGCTGTGTTTTGAATCTTTTTGTATGAATATATCTATTCTTTATCCTTCTTTGATACTATAATATCTTACATGCTATAAATGTGCCATCATAATTTAATCCTGTACTGGTAAACTTTAGGATGTTTCCTGTTTTTCACTATTAAAAACATTCTTGGAAAGCAAATCTTTATTCTCACATAGAAGAGATACCTAGAAATGGAATGGTTAGATTGAGAAATTACTTGAATGTTATGCACTTTACACTTCCAGACACTGGCCAAAGTATTAATTTCTCTGTTCTCTAGTCTATACTTAACCAATGTAGTCATTTTTTCTGTTCTAAGGGTTTTTTGCTTTTGGTGTTTGGTTTGCTTTGGTTTGGTACTGAGGACTGAACCCAGGGCCTTTGCACTGAGCTGTATACTCCAGTGCTTGTAAAAAAAAATACTTTATTTTGAACATGGTCTCCCTGAACTGTAGGATTAGGCTGGTGGAGCTCAGATTTACAGTCCACCTGCTTCAGCCTCCTTTTGTGCTAGGATTAAGGTGTGTGCCACCACATCCTGCATCATTCTAACTGTTGAGTCACAGAAAAATAAATCTTACTTTAATTAAACAGTTTTTCACATGTTCATTCATCATTGTACTTTTAAGTTGCCTTTTTCTCTCCTTAGTCTATTTTTCTGAAGAGTTCCTTTAAGGAGTTCTAGAAGTATTCTTTGTCCAGCTAATCTTTCAAAACATGTTTAATGTACTTTTTGTTACTTTTGTTTTTGCTCAGTTACAGGAATGTCAATTGTTAGGATTTGAAATCAGTTCTTTTTTTTTTTTTTTTAAGTTTCTAGGTTTTTTATCGTATTAGGAGCACCTTGTGAACGGTATGAAATAGCAATTAAAACCTAACTTTTCCCCAGTAATTGTGTTTATCTCATTTTCCTAGCTACACTTGAAGATGTTAATATTTCTTTTATCATGGTTTGCTTTGATGGCTTCACAAATATTTTGATATAGAACTGGATCCTGAAAATGAGGATGTTAGAGTGAGTGCCGTCCCTTTACCTTTTCTGTAGGTAATTGAGGATAGAGGAAAGTGAGGTTTTTCTTGTTAGTACAGAGTTAGTGACAGAGCAAGGACTAGAATCTGAGTGGGGTTTTTTTGTTTCTTTGGTCATTGTTTTTTGTTTGTTTGTTTTTATAAAAGTACCCTTTATGCCAGACTTCTTTATGGGTGTATCACATTTTACTTATTTGTGAAATTATGCTACTTACCCAGCTTTCATGTATGGTAATAAATTAGACACCCCCAACACCCCACCTCGATGCAGGGTAGGCAAGCACTGTACTACTGAACTATACCCGCAGTCCTAAAATTCTCTTGTTGTGATCATCATCTCCTTTTTCCATCCTGGGATCTTTCAGAGAATGTTTTCATTTCATTTCACAGATGAACTTCCGTACCTAAAATTACGCTGTTCTACTTTCAGTGCTAAAAATTCGTTTCTACTTTTAACCCAACAGTAGCAGCCGCTCTTCTAAAACATTCAAGCCCAAGAAGAATATTCCTGAAGGATCTCATCAGTATGAACTCTTGAAACATGCAGAAGCAACTTTAGGAAGTGGAAATCTCAGACAAGCAGTTATGTTACCGGAGGGAGAGGATCTCAATGAATGGATTGCTGTTAACAGTAAGTTTTTAACAATGTTCAGCTTCATTGGTTTGTAGAAACATTTTGCTGAAATCTTTATTTTGTTGTTGTTGTTGTTGTTTGTTTGTTTGTTTTTGAGACAGAGTCTCGCCACATAGTTCAGGTGGGCCTTGAACTCACTATATAGTCTGGGCTGGCCTCAAATTTGCAGTGATCCTCCTGAGAGCTGAAATTACAGGCGTGTGCCACCATGGCCAGCTAAAAGCTTGTTGTTGATGGATTTTCTCTAACAGGCATAACTGTTGTGATATGACAGATTAAAAAAACATAAATAGAAATACTTGGTAATTTATGTTCTTCAGAATACTTGGTAGCATCTTTGGTTGAGTAGTGAGGCCTGAGAAGTGATGAGTGCTTCAGGCCATTCCTGAGGAAAATACCATGAAGAACTGAATAAGGTCAAATAAAAGATTAACAAATGCAAGGACTCTCCTCCCGGGACCGTGTGTTTGTAGGAATCCATTGCACAGTTTTGCCCCCACTCCCGGCAGTACTGATTCACATTCACATTCACAAAAATCTATGGCAGTTCCAGTGGGCAGTCAGTTGTTTGTTGTGAGTGAAGAATCCTCAGAAAGGGCTGGGGATTTAGCTTAGTGGCATAAGCACCTGCCTGGCAAGTGTGAAGTCATGAGTTCAATCCCCAGCACCCAAAAAAAAATCCTCAGGAAGAGATTGAAAGACTGGGAGAAAGTGAAGGGATCCAGGAGCCGAGTTGAAGAGAACCAGGACTTGATGTGCTGAGGCTAAAGATTGGAATGTGTCAGCCTCTCATGCTGAGGTGGGATCCGTACTGGGACCTTTTTAATGGAAAATTTCGGACATAAGAAAGTAGAGAAACTAGGACAGAATTCTCAGGTACCCATCATCCCTCTTCAGTAAATATCAGTGTGTGGCTAATTGTGCTTCTTTATGCCCCCTATTTCAATGCAAACCCCAGACATATTATTTCATCTATAAGTATCTCTAAAGACAGGACTCCTTTTAAAGATAATGACACCCAGGCACAGTTGCATATGTAATTGCAGCTGTTTGAGAAGCTGAAGCAGGAAGATCACAATTTTGAGACCAGCCTAGGCAACCGAGCCTGGGATAGCCTGGGACCCTATTTCAAAATAAAATTTAGCAAGGGTTGGGGTATAATTCAGTGATAGAATGCTTGTCTAGCACGCTCAGAGTCCTAGGTTCAGTCCCCCATACAACACACACACACATAAGTCGTCTTTTAATGTTATTGAATTATCTATTTAGTGTTCACATTTCCCCGATTGTCCTATCTAATATTTTTTTTTTAATTGAATGTTGGTTTAAATCAGGATCCAGCAGGGCCTGTATATATGTTTTCTCATATCTCTTAATCGATAGGTTTCTCTTTATTGCAGTCTTTTTTTCCCTGCTCTTTATTTTTGAAGAAACCAGGTCACTTATTTTCCACAGTATGAATCCCCTAATTCTACCCCCAAGGCATCCATTATCATGTTCTGTTTCTCCTTTTATCTCCTGTAACATTAGATGTGGAGCAGCATTGTCCTATAGAACTTTCTGCAAAGATGAGAATGCTCTATACTTTTAGTGTGGTTATTTATCCCTTAACATGTGGCTAATGTGACAGAGGAACTGAATTTTTAATAGAACTCAATTTTAATGTAAATATGGTAACCAGATGTGGCTAGTGGTGACCATGCTAGTGGCTTGATTTTGTTTTATGTACAGTTACTTAATAGGTGGGGGTATATGTTTCTATATGTTTTTAATTACCCAAAATTCATAGTTTGCAGTAGAATTCACTTTTCTTATTGTATATTCTGCGGATTTGGACAAGTTTATAATGACAAGTTTATCATGTTCACCACTGTGACATTATCACAGAATGACTCAAAATCCTCTATCCTTTGCCTGTCTTCTCTCCCTTTGCCCCCGACTATTTTGGCAACCATTGGGGTTTTTTTGCCTTTTTTAGAATGTCTTCATATAGTTGGAGTCAGATAGAGTATATAGCTTTTCCATAGTGACTTTTCTTTGCTTAATAATATTTAAGTTTCTTCCATATCTTTTCATGGTTGACAACTCATTTATTTTAAGCCCAGAGTAGTCGGTTTACTAGATATATCACAACATATTTATCCATTCACCTACTGAATAATAGCTTGGGTGCTTCCAAGTTTAGGCAGTTAAGAATAAAGCCTTTGTAAACATCCATATGCAAGTTTCTGTGTGAACTTAAGTTTTCAATCCTTTGGGCAAATACCAAGCAGCATAGTGAGCAGATGTGGTAATTCTGGGTTTGTGAGAAACCGTTGGTCTCCCACAGTGGCTGGACCATTTGTTTCCCACTAGCAGTGAGTGAGAGCTCCTGTTGCTCTGCAGCCTTACCAGTTTTCAGTGTGGTCAGTATTCTGGATTTTCGCCATTCCAAATAAATAGGTAGTGGTGTCTCGTATTTTAATGTGCATTTCCCTGTTGATATTTGGTGTGAGGCATCTTTTCATATGCTTACTTGCTGTGTGTGTGTGTGTGTGTATCTGTTGAGATGTCTGTGAAGATCCGACTCATTTTTGAGTTTATTGTTACTGAGTTTTAAGTTTTTTGTATATTTTAGAACACATTCCTTTATCACCTATGTCTTTTGCAGATATTTTCTGCTAGCCTGCTGCTTAGCTTTTTCTCTCATGAGTTTCTTCTGCAGAGCAGAAAATTTTAATTTAATGAAGTTTGGCTTATTAGTGCTTTCATAAACTGTGTCTTTGATCTTAAAGGTTATTGCCAAGGTCACCTAGACTTTCTCCTCTGTTTCTCCCATGTCTCTTAGAGGTTGTATGCTTTTGCATTTTACATTGTGATCTATTATTAATTTTGAGTAGATTTTCATGAAGGGTTTAAGGTCTGTGTGTAGATTAATATGGGGGTTTTTGAGACAAGAGTTTTGCCCAGGCTGGCCTCAACCGTGCAGCCATTGGCTGCCTCAGCCTTCCAAATACTGGGTTTATAGGGATGCACCACTCTGCCCAGCTAGATTCATCTTTTTGCGGGTACCGGGAATCGAGCTCAGGACCTTGCCCTTGCCAGGCAGGCTCTGTGCTGCCAAGCTGTATCCCTGGCCCCTAGATTTCAAGTTTTTGCATATGGATGTCCAGGAGATGTACACTATTGCTGAAAACTGTCTTCTCCATTGTGTCAACTGTGTTCCTTTGTAAAGCCCGTGGGTCTGTTCTGCATTCTCTATGATAGTCCATTGAATTATTCATTGTGTTACCAATATCACACTGACTCAGTTACTATATTGAAACTGAGCAATGTCAGTCTTCCCACTTCGCTTTTTCATATAAAATTTAGAATCAGATTTTTGATACACTGAGGTTTTTATTGGTCAGTTGTCTTTTTATTGCTCTTAGCAACATTGATAATCAGTTTTTGTTTTGTTTTTTGAGACAAGATCTCACTATGTATTTTGTGCTAGCTTTGAATAATATTATCATCAGTGCATTTGGATAAAAACCTTGTGTGAGCTACATGTGTAATTTAAGTTTTCTCAATCACATTTAAAATTTTTTATTTTTCATGTTAAAAACTATTCACATTGCTTGAGAGAAGAAAAGGTGCAGAATTATGTGGTATGTTGTCTTTTTTTAAATTTTTATTTACTTATTTATTCTTTTCTGAGACAGGGTCTCACTATGCAGATCAGGTTGGCCTTGAGCTCACTTTGCAGCCCAGGCTGGTCTTGAACTTGCAGTGATCCTCCTGCCTCAGCCTCCTGAGTACTGGGATTACAGGCTTGCGCCACCATGCCCAGCTATACGTTACTTTTTGTATAAGAAATGATAAAGAAACTTAGTGGGCAGGAGACAGAAAATGAGTGGTTGCCTCTGTGTTGGAATTTAGAGTTTTTTAGTATTTTTCATATTGTTTTGATATTTGAGCCATATAAAGTATTATTCAAGATAAAACTTTTTTAAATTTTTATTTAAATGATCATTGCTTATTCCAGAGGCCTTAGATTTTTCTTTGAGACATTCTGCTATAAATCAGGCCAAACTTTTGTTTGTTTATTTGTTTGTTTTGAGACAGGGTCTACCTGTATAGCCCTTGAATCTGCCTCAGCTCCCTGAGTGCAGGGATTACAGACAGGCATGTGTCTCCATGACTGGCTCAAACCTTCTGGCCTCTTGTTCCCAATTTTCTCTTAAAAATTGCTGAGAACTTCAAAGAACTTCTAACTGTTATGTAGTTGGTTACTGTTACAAATTTTAAATATTCTTCTTATTAAGTTCATTTAAAAATAATAAATCCATTGCATGTTAATATATTTTTATTTAAAAGTGTTCTCCAAAACTGGTTTCAAAGAGAAATATAGCATTAATATTTTTGAAAATCTTACGTATTGCCTGGATTAATGAACATTTAGATTTTCAGATTTGCTTTTGCATTCAAGAGTCCTTGAAAAATTCTACTGTACCCTCTTGACAGAAGGAGAGTGAAAAGGGCAATTAAAGTGGTTTTGGCCCACAGATCCCGCTGTGGCCTCACAGGAAATCTCTACACCACCTTTGATACTGGGGCTTCCATGTCACTTTTGTAGAAACATGACTGATTAAGAGGAAGTAATTATGGATGAGGGAGTTTTATGTAAAATTCCTTTTGACAAGGTGAATTTTTTTAAGTCTGTTTTTTAAGAAGCTTGGAAAAACCCTACTTGATTTTCACATACTTCCATAGAGGACCAAAGTATTTATTTAAAACACTTTCCAAGTTTCATATGACTTTGCACAGAATAGTTACACTTTATTCATCCACTTCCGTTTTCTTCTATATCTAACTGAAGCTTATGTTGAAACTACCCACTAATTACCCCAGCTCTCTGCCTTTTGCCTGAACCTTTGCACTTTAGAGTTGCCTTTGGGTCCTCTTTGTTCTTTGTGTAAGGGTAGTGCTAGGTGTTAAACTTGGGACCTCACACATGCCAAGCAAGCACTGTACCCCTGAACTACATCACCAGCTATGTATGTAATAATTGACTGATTTATTGATTGATCATTTACAGAGTCATGCCATGTTGCCCAAGCTGGGCTCCAACTTGTGATTCTCCTTCCTCAGCTTCCCAAGTAGCTTGAGATCACAGGTGTGCACCACTGCACCTGGATGGATCCTGTCTTCTTATACTGTATCCTGTATTACTCATTTAAAAAAATTTTATCCCTTCTAGGGCTAGGGGTTTAGCTCAGCGGTACAAGCGCTTGCTTGGCAAACATGAGGTCATGAGTTCAATCCCCAGTACCAAAAAAAAAAAAAAAAAAAGAGGAAGAGGACAATTTTGGACTGGGGATTTAGCTCAGCGACATAAGGGCCTGCCTGGTAAGGGCATAGTTGTGAGTTTGATCCCTGGTACCAAAAAAAAAAAAAAGTGTAATATATCAAAAGTTAATGTTTAGTTGGCCATGGGAGGGAGCATGCACCTGTGGTCCTAGTTACACAGGCAGCTGAGGCAGGAGGATCCCTTCAGTTTGGAAGTCTAAGGCTAGCCTGGGCAAATATAGCAAGACCCCATCTCAAAAAAAAAATTCTTTTGTCCTTTTTTTTCTTCAGCTGAGAAGTCTGACATTTTTGTTATGTTTACTCAGACATTTAACACAATTCTGCCATTACCTCTGCAGCTGTGGATTTCTTCAACCAAATCAACATGTTGTATGGAACTATTACAGAATTCTGCACTGAAGCGAGCTGTCCAGTCATGTCTGCAGGCCCCAGGTGCGTCAGCCTGATACAGAGGTGTTGGCGTTACTTTTGCTTTATCACTAATGGATGTGTAATAATAGGTCTTTTTTATTATATGTTTGGTTACATAAAGTTGATTCCACTTTGTTCATGAATATTGACCTATAGCTGTTATTTCTAAATACTTGGACATGTGGTTATTCAGAGTTTGATTTTTATATTGCATCATAGTAACTTTGAGTATTATGTTGTAGGAAGAAGAATACAGAAATTTGAATTATGTTTATCTTGTATCCCAAAACTTTTTATCTGATTAATATTTATGGCTTCTGGCTAGCTTTTAAATGAGTTTTGGTAGTTTTTAATGGGCCTTTAAATATTTGATTATTTTTTCTTTCATTTATTTAGAATTAAGTGGGCAACACAGTTTAGAAATGATTAGCTGGATTAAAGATGCTAGGTTAACAAATATTTCAACTATAATAAACTTCAATGAAAAATCTAAAGAAGTATAGAATTCTTTATCACCTATAATATTAAGTCAGATTGTGATGGGATTAATGTTTTTATGTTTCTCAGTGTTTTTTTCTTATAATAAATTACAGATTTTATGTAACAATAAATAATATCAAGATGTTTGTCTCTTGTACTTTGACTTTTCTATAGGTATAAGGAAAAAAGATCCCCAATGAGTTTTGACCCTATTTTTGTTGCAGTTTAGGAAGGCTGTTATTTTATGTTTCATTAATCAAACTTTATTTATTTGTTTTTGTCTTTTTGAGATGGAGTTTCACTAAGCAGTTCAGGCTGGCCTTGAACTCACTTTTTAGCCAAGGCTGGTCTCAGACTCGCAGCAATCCTCTTGCCTCTGTCTCCCGAGTGCGGGGATTTCAGGTGTGCACCATCACGCCTAGCCCTACATTCATCAAACTATAAAAGAAATCAAAATGAATGGGAAATATAAATTTGTCTATGGTTTAAATGACTGGAGAAATTTTGCAAAGTCTTGTTGATTATTCTAGTTTAGCAAAAGTAAAAGGAAAAAATGTGCATGGCTAAAAATGTATTTGTCTAAGGTTGTCTCTGAGAAACAGGATTTGATCATCTTGGCACTGATGATAAGTTATGGCCAAGGGTCTCAGAACGCAGTGGATCATTTGCTCCTTACACTGCCCTCAGCATCTTCCTGCCCTGCACATAGGAGTACAGTTCCTTCGTCTGTCCTGGACTGTCTTATGAAACATCCTTTCTGGTACTGCCAGTTGCCACTGGCCGTGATCAGAGATGTCTCCCTGATCTCTTTAGTTATAACCATCACAGTTCATAGTAATTGTGTAGGAAATTTACAGTAATCCTCAGTAGAACCTTAGGTAATTTATTAAAGTTATGTAGTTCATATTAATAAAATGTGGAAGTAGCACATTTATTAATGTTTTTGAAAATCATCAGTAAAACATATTTCTCTTCAGGTATGAGTATCACTGGGCAGATGGCACTAATATTAAAAAGCCAATCAAATGTTCTGCACCAAAATACATCGACTATTTGATGACCTGGGTTCAGGATCAGCTTGATGATGAAACTCTCTTTCCTTCTAAGATTGGTGAGTTAATGAATATTGCAGAACTATTTTTCTTTCTGAATTATGTAGTCTTTTTTTACTGCTCTGTTACTTCAAAGTATTAGAGTGGGCCAGGACATAGCTCGGTGGCACTGTGCCTGCCTGGCAAGTACAAGGTCCTGAGTTCAATTCCTGGTATAAAAAATTAAGTAATAGAGGTAGGCATGATGATCCATACCTGTAGTCCTAGCCCTTAGGGGCTGAAGCAGGATTATTTGAATTCAAAGCCAACCTGAGCTACTTACTGAGAACTTACCTAAAAAAAACTTTCTTTTTTAATAGAGACTGCCATATTCTTCTCCAAAGAGTCTGTATCAGTATATATGCCCTCTAGAATGTTTGTGTCTGCCTATTTTTCTTTTTTTGAGGGGAAGGGGGAGCTTTTTTTGAGACACAAGTCTTGCTATATAGCCCAGGCTGGTCTTGAACTCGTGGCAATCCTGTTGCCTCAGCCTTCTGAGTGCTGGGATTACAGGCATATGACACCATGCCCAGCTCTGCCTGTTTCTTTACCATACCGATTATTACTCACTTTTTCTTTTTAGTCTTTTGTACATTAAGTGAATACATTTTTACTTCAGTGTACATTTAAAAAATATTGATATGATAGAGAATGTATTTTGTTTTGTTGATCATTGTAACTTTTCTGTTTATATCCTTTGTCTGTTTCCGTTAGGAATATTAGCTCTTTATATTTTTTCCCATATTGTCTTTTGTCTGATTTGTTGATGGACTGTTTTGCTCTGCATATCTCTCATTTTGTCTTACTAATCATTTCCTTGTGACTTGAGTTTTCCTTGGTGTTTTTTTTTTTTGTTGTTTTGTTTTTTGTTTTTGTCTTTTTGAGACAGGGTCTCCCTATGCAGTTCAGGCTGGCCTTGAGCTCATTTTGTAGCCTAGGCTAGTCTCGAACTCGAAACAATCCTCCTGCCTCAGCCTCCCAAGCTCTGGGATTACAGGCATGAACCACCACGGCTGGCTATGACTTGAGTTTTAATACACTAATGAAAAACTTTTTCCCTACTTCTGGATTATTTAAAAAAAAAAAACCTTACATTTGTGATTTTTTTTAATGTAATACTTTATTCTATCAGTTTTTCTTCTGAATGCTGCTTTCATTATTTTCCAAAAAGAAAATTTAGTCAGTTTTTCCCAGTTCACTTACTGAGTACATGTGTCTTTTCTGCCCTGATTATCTTATGTGTACAATGGATTACCGTATATTTGGAGGTCTTTTAATGTCTTTATCACTTCCTGTGGAAACTGCAATTTTCATTCACGTGGCCATGTATCTTTTACCATCTTACAAGGGCAAGCTCCTTTCCTTTCTCTTCTTTTTTAGAGTATTCACAGCTATCCTGAGGTATTTCCCAAGAATTTAGACATTTGCTCAAGGTAAAAAAACAAATAAAATCTTTAGATTGCATCTAATTTTTGTACACAGATATATTCTTATTCTCTTTATACTGAATCTTCTAGCCAAGAATAAGATCTTCATTTAGTCTTGTCATTTATTTAGTGAGCCTTCTTTCCTCTGTAAAATTCTATTTTATTTATTTTATGTTATGTTTTGGTACCGGGGATCAAACTCATGACTTTGCACTTGCCAGACAGGCACTTAGGCTGCTGAACTAAAATCCTCAGCCCCAAAATTTTATTTTTATTTATTTATTTAGACTTTTTGAGAGAGCATCTTGCTAAGCAGTTTAGGCTGGCCTCAAGCTTACTTTGTATGCTAGATTGGTCTCAAACTTGCCACAAACCTTCTGCCTCAGCCTCCCAAGTGCTGGGATCACAGGCCTGAGCCACCACACCCAGTTTATTCCTAGGCATTTTTTTCTTTTTATTAATACTTGGTTTCTTCTCTCTCTCTCTCTCTCTCTCTCTCTATCTTCTTTTCTCTCTCTGTCTCTCTGTCTGTCTGTCTGTCTGGCTGGCTGGCTGTCTCTCTCTCTCTCCCCCTTTCCTTTTCCTTTCCTTTTTGAGACAGGGTTTCACTGTGCAGTTCAGACTAGCCTTAAACTTCCTTGGTAGCCCAGGCTAGCCTCAAACTCACAACAATCCTCTTGCCGCCTCCTCTCGAGCACTGGGATTACAGCCATGTGCACTATGCCTGGCCGGATAATTGGTGTCTAATTATTATTTGATGTATATTGTCTGTTGATTTTTGTAACTGTTATACTCTATCTTGATAATTCTTCTTTCTCTTAAATTTCTGAAGTATGCAGCTTCATCAGATGAAGATGACATTAATTTGGCCTCTTTCTGATGTTTTCTTATTGTTTTATACTCTCCTAACTGCACTGACCAGTACTTCCAGAACAATGCTGAGTTAGAGTGATGATGCAGAAATGTACATCAAGTGTTGCACTTGATCTGCTTGATATTGGTCAGTTTTTCCATTCTGTTATTCAACCTTTTCCTTTCTTACAAATTCTTTATTATGTATTGCTTCTATTTGAATATCTGTTAAATATAGCTTGGAAAGTATTTAGATGAAAACAAATTAGTTATTCTTGAAGGTCTCCTCTTTATGGAGATAAAGAAATTTTTTTAGTTCATCCTTTTTTTTTTTTTTCCAGCTTCCTCTTCTGCATTAATTCACTCTCATGTTCTGGAGTCCCTTTGTCCCCATTAAGTTGTTGTCTGCATGTTATTTTTGCTAGTTATTTCATTAGACATAACTGTTTATTGCTAACTTTTTACTAATAGTTTCAAGTTGTTAATGTTATTAACAAGATACTTCTTGGTACATTCAGAGAAAAAGGGGTTTGGTTTTTAAAACATTTTTTCAGTACATGAATGCTCAGAGAAATATGTTTCTGCATAATATTCAAAAAATCAAGTTAGCCAGAACTTGGAGGAATAGACACAAAACCCAGTGATGTTTAACAAATTCCCAGCTGTTAAGGGCTGCCAAGAGAAAAAGAAAACAAAATTCAGGGAAATATTGTTTTAGTAAGTCCTTGTTTTTGAAAGGTTGAAAGGAGGTGTTTCAAGAGTTGTATCAAGGAATAGGCCTTTAAGGCCAATGAACCTCAGTTATTTTGGAAGCAGGTGCGCTTGTTTACTGCAGCCAGTACAGTTGAAATGACTTTATCCTGTCTCTGTTTTCTAAGAGACATTGATATTCTCAGCATAATTCTCAAGAACATAGCCAGTTGCAACCCTGAGATGACTTTACTGTTCAAGATAGTCCAACAAACCTTCCGGTTTACTAAAGAAATGTTTTATTTTCTTTGAAAAAATCAGGGGGTCCAACTCCCCTTTTTTTAGAAAGTACACTGTATTTTTAACCATCAGGAAAGTGGAAACTTAATTTCCAGGTAATTCAGAAAATAAAATAATAAAATTTATACTTGCTGCATTTAACCTGGGGAAGAAACCGTAATATTAAACCACTAAAGTTATGTTTATTTGAACTTTGATTCAGAGGCATCTTACATAATCTGATGTTCATGCTTACTGATCTAAGGCAATTAGAAAAACTGTGACCTTTGTCTCTTAAGTATACAGTAATAAGCTTATGAGTGTTTGCAGGTATGTTTGTGTGTTAAAGTTGGTCATGGAAGTATTGAAATTTGCTGCTGAATATTGGGTTAAAGGCTGGCACAGTCACTATAGAGATCAATATAGAGATTCTTCAGAAGCTTAAAAATGGAAATTCCATTTGACCCACCTGTGCCTCTTCTGGGTATATTCTTGAAAGAGTTAAAGGCATCCTACCATAATGATAGCTGAATATTCATCTATAGCTATGCAACTCACAGTAGTTTAGCTCAGGAAATGACCTGGATGTCTGGCCACATGCGCATGGATAAACATATGTGGTACACCATGGAATATTATTTCGCTATAAAGAACAAAGTTATGTCATTTGCTGGAAAATAAATGAAGTTTGAGACCATAGTGTTAACTGAAATAAACCAGACACAGAAAGTTAAATACTACATGGTTTCTCTTCTATGAGAAAGCTAATATATAAATGAGTAAAAGTGAAATAAATGAAAGATGGTTGGAAACAAACATGAACTTTTTGCAGATGGAGAAGAGGATGAAGGGAACTAGGAAGAGGAGGTAAGGGAATCAAAAATGGTCAAAAATTATCTCTCCCAAAACAGATGTTCGCTGTTACATTAATTATTTAAAAAGACTGACTGATCTACTAATATACGTATGTGTGTATTTGACTACAGGTGTCCCATTTCCCAAAAACTTCATGTCTGTGGCCAAGACAATCCTCAAGCGTCTCTTCAGGGTCTATGCCCACATTTACCACCAGCACTTTGACTCCGTGATGCAGCTGCAGGAGGAGGCCCACCTCAACACCTCCTTTAAGCACTTTATTTTCTTTGTTCAGGTAAGGAGCCTGTGGGTTTCTGAGCAGTGTGTCTTACTTGTCCGCACAGAGAAGCTAAATACAAATAGTGTTTTCAGTTTTATTTTCCACATTGTTTTGTTGATCTGTGTGGCAGCATACAAAGATGTCGCTCAGCAGGCTATAATCCCACCCGTTTGGGAGGTGAGGGAGGAGGCTGGCAAGTTTGAGGCCAGCCTGAGTAACTTAGACCCTACTTCAACATGCAAATGAAAAGACTGGGAGTGTAGCACAGCGGTTAAACTTCTGTTTAGGATATATGAGACCTTGGGTTCAATCCCTAGCTTGGGTCAAACAAGGCCTTGGGCCCTCCACCTCTAGCCTCCCTGGAGCTCCAGTTAGGGTGTGTGTCATTTTAATACGTGCTCTGTTGTGAGCTAAGTCAAAATATGTAATGTAGAAGTTGTTTTTTCTAAACTAAAACCTCAGCATCCATTTTAATTGCAGAGTTGGCACTTGGTGATAAGTCAGTGAGTTTGGGTTGCAGTCAGGCACTTGGTCTCTCAGAGGTTCACCATCACTGCCCTACAGGTTGGCAGTGTAGAAGTAGAAGGTAGGCATGGAGGCAAAGTCCCCATACCTTAGTTGTCACGCCTTGGTCTTCCTCATGAGCAGCCCCGATCTGATGTTCTCCCAGGGCCCACAGCCACCAGCCATTGCATTAACACACAAAAGGCGCCTGTCTCTCCAGACATCCCACACTGTTAAGGAACTGTGTGTCAGGAAGCAGGGAGGAAAACTGGTACGTGTCACAAAGAGTATCTGTGTTTTTAAACGAGTAAAAAACGATTGTTATAAAATGTCCATAGAGCCAGGTATGGTGGCACACACCTGCAATCCCAACATTCAGGAGGCTGAAACAGGAGGATTGCTGCAAGTTCAAGGCCGGCCTGGGCTACAGAGTGAGCTGAAGGCCAACCTGAACTGCATAGCAAGACCATGTCTCAACAAGACAGGAAAAAATAAGTTCATAGAATTTCATAAAACTAGGATTGAGAATCTTTCAAAATCATTTAGTTTTAATTTAGGTTAGTTTTAAATTTTATTTCTCTTCTGTTTTTAGGAGTTTAATCTGATTGATAGGCGTGAACTGGCACCTCTTCAAGAATTAATTGAGAAGCTGGGCTCAAAAGACAGATAAATGTTTCTTCTAGAACAGTTGTCCTCTTGCTTCATCTCCTGCTAGAGCTATCTCATTGCTGTGTGTGTAGACTAGTGATACAGACTTTAAGAAGACAGGATAAAGGACATCTTGTGTGTGTCTGCAGGGAAACTGTCCCAAAGGTAGGTCGCCTAGTAGCTTCACAGGCAGGACAGAGTCAGAGGACACAGTCACATCAGAGATGCTGTGTGAACAGTCCTGTTACTGTCAGCATTGTACTCGGTTGTAACATGTGATGACTAACCTGTAGTTTATTAGTTCACTTATTTTTTTATTCACAAAAATTATTGCATCTGTTTCAGGTGTCAGCATAATGGATATTAAGAGTTTTTACCATTGATTTATTTGTAAGTTTTCAGAAAAAATTTCCTAATACAATCATATTGGTTTTACTCTGCTTTTATCTTATTAATAGAAAAGGTATTTTTAGGTTTCCTTAAGATTTAGAACTTCTAGACTGGGTGTGGTGGCGCATGCCTGTAATCCCAGCACTCGGGAAGCTGAGGCAGGAGGACTGCTACGAGTTTGAGCCTAGGCTAGACTACATAGCAAGACCCTGTTTCAAAAAAATATTTAGAACTTTTGTGTCACTTTGGATAGCCTTTTAGTTTCAAGTTTATATGCTCGTGTTTTTATAGATAAGAATATATATTTTTCAAAATTCATTATTGCAATTTAAATCATGTCATATGTGGAATGGGAGCAACCAAAGTTATTTTTAAATTAGTTTTATTTTTTAATTATTATTTGGGATTGTATTTACATCTATCTAAATTATTAGAAGTTTTCATGTATCAGAAATAATTTTAGGTTCTGAGGATGATCTTACAGGTTTTTATTTTAAAATGCTTTTTTAAAATTAGTATGAAGCTTTTGGCTGAGAAAAAACTAAATATACATGATAGACTTAGGTCTCACAGCCATTATTTTCATTCATATTGTTTTTCAGAGGCTTTGCAGTTTTGGTAAGAGTGAAATAAAGTATTTAGAGTATTTAATAGGTTCCTAAAAAACTTACCTCTGTGTTTCTGTTTTTTGGTACTGGGGATGGCAAGGTGAGGGCTGTGTCACAGAGCTGTGTTTTAGTCAGGGTCTGGGTTTCCCAGTCTGGCCTTGAATTTGGGATCCTTCTGCCTCAGCCTCGAGAGTAGTTGGGATTACAGGTGTGTGCCCCCAGCCTGGCTTTGTTTTTTATTGTGACTTGAGACTTAAGAGTAGTATGACAAAATGAAAGGCAAAATAAGTACAAATAAATAAGTAATCTTAATTTCATTCTGTTAATAAAGGATAGATTGAGCTTCCATAGGGAATTTAACCTGCTTTCATTATTTTTTATCAAAACTTGAAATTTTTCTTTTTATGGGGATAATATCATCTCCCTTTAGTGAAGAAAATGCGTTTTTTGTTGAGTTCCTTGGATTTAAATGTTTGACTATTTAAATGTACTGAGGCATAGTAGATATCCTGGAGACTTGCCAGACTGACAAAGCTTTACTTCATCTGAAGTCTGGATCAGAGCTGACCAACCTCATGGCTTTGATAAAGGTTACATTTGATAAGGGTTCTTTTGTTACTTATTTTTATTATTCCACTAGATTATAAAGAAAAGAATTGCTTAACACTCTACCCCACCCTCTTTGGGGTTTTTTTTTTGTTTTGTTTTTTTGGTACCAGGTATTGAACTCACAGCCTCAGGCTTGCCAGGGCAGGTGCTTAAGCCACTGAGCTAAATCCGCAACCCTGCCTTTGGTTTTTTGAAACAAGGTCTTGCTGTGTAGTCCAGGCTGAGCCTTGTACTCACTGTGTATCCCAGGCTGGCCTGAAACTTGCAGTGATACTCCTGTCTCAGCCCCCTGAGTGTGAGGATTACAGACATGTGTCACCATACCTGGCAGAAACTCCATTTTTAATAACCTAATTTCAGTAAATTCTTAAAGACACACAGATTTTAAAGGATTTCAAAGTGGGATAATCACCAATTAAAAAGAGAAAAGCCCTGTATAAAACATTACACAGCCCATGTTTTAAACTTACCCAGTGGACCAGCTATCAGCCATCTTGTCTACTTAATGTTGATTATTTAGAAATAAAACAAGTTTCTGGGTGCATCTCCATTGTAACTTCCTCATTGTATATTCATTTGTAATATTTCAAAGATTCTCAGAAGAGTTCTTGCTTCTCTCCATTCATTTTCACTGATAGAAATCCCCTCATGATGGAGCCCCTAAACCAACCAAAGACGGTCACATGCCAGGGAAGCAGTAAAGGCAGCTTATTAGTGGGACATAAATCAGAAATGTGTTGATAATTTTGAAACTTACAATAAATGCCCTTTTTAAAAACTTTATTTTTTTAACAAAACGAGTTTCCAGGGCAGTCTGGTTTAACCAGCAGCACATTACACTGAGGCGGGAGGAGAGCCAGAGAATGGGGGGTGAGCGGGAAGCAGAAGGCGCCCTCCCGACAGGGCGAGGGGCCACCCTGTATAGGGGTTGGAAGGAGCCAGTGAGTGTGGCTTCGCTCACTCTGCATTTTCTGCCCCAGCCCACGTCTCCTGTAGTCCCTCCACTTCCCCTGCTCCGCAGACGTCCTCTCCCGTCAGTGGCCGATGTCTGCTCCTCAGTGGTGATTACAGTCCTGGGTGGAGAGTGCTTGCCAAATGATGCAGGTCATCCTGTGGTGCTTTAGTTTTTAGGCCTTTTAAAAAACTTGGACAATGATGTACAGATACTTGTTTATTCAGACCTCTTTGAACTACTGTTTTTTATCTTGACAGCCAAATGTGTCCTTCCTTCTCCTTCATTTTGTGAATAAAGTGACTTTACAGGCCTGGCAACTAACAGGGTGTTCCGTCCATCCTAGACTTGCAGAGCTGTGGCTTATGTGCTGCTTCCTCAAGAAATGCAAATCTGTGTTCACCATGACTTTGATAACAGGCAGTTATTCTAGTAGTGCAGAGGAAGCGGAAGCTGACATCTCCAGTGTGATGCCTTACCTCATATGAATAAACAGAGCAGGCCCAAAGAGTGCAATGTCCTAGAAATGTGTTTCTAAGCAGCTCCAGTCATGGTGCTGGGGCTACCGCAGCCCCATTGCACCAGGCTGGCTCCTATCAGAGGGAACTGTGGCCTAGAAAATGCAAGCCTGCACCCCAAGCACTGAGCACCTTCCACATGGTGATTGGTTCGGTGTGGATTTGGTTTCTATTGTAGAATTCTGGCAAAGAGGAAAAATAGTTCTTTGCTCTTTCTCTTGCATTCAGTTTTACTGTTTCAGACTGTAAAAGGCTTTGGGTGATGATGTTCCATGTGGTAGCACTAATTTTATTAAAACACCTAATTCACTTGGATTTGGATTATGAGACAAACAAGTATTCTGTAAATCCAAAAGAATCACCAGTGTGCTATGGATTTACTATACAGCAATATTCAATATTTGGTCTACATTGAAAGTAGTTTGTATAAGTTAGCCTTAATTACCATCCAGAATATTTTTAAATGTTCTTTACATTCAAACTTATGTTGTATTTTTACATCTTTGGGGGGCTTTATCTATTTTTCTAAGTCAGTCAACTGTACTTTAAAAAAATGTATTTTGTATCTACTTTTGTAACTTCATCAAAATAAAATATATTGAAAGCAAGAAATGACTGATTTTATTTTAGTATGGGAACTTGAGATTTTTGCTGGTTCTGTGGGATCTGAGTACAGCTTAAATTTGGAAGGTTATCGTTGAATATAATTTAGTAGTTACAATTGTTTTTAGCCCTTAAAGATAAGTTCCAAAATAAAACAAAATACCAGAACCCCACTCCCAAGAAACAAACCATTTTATTGTTACCGAAACCCACCCAAGACAAAAATAATTAGTTCCAACACTAGCCAGCCGCTGGATCTCTTTTGCATATTCCTAATTGTGGTACCGGGAAAAGAGAATATGAGACTTAATAAACCTAATAAAGTTGAGTAATAGTGTATATCCTTAAACCTTTCCCTGCCCCAAACATCTGTTTTTCATTATTGTAGAAGAAATTCTAGGAGAATTAGTTTTAGACAAATTACTAGTGCATTCTAGGTTTAAAATAGTGCTGGAATTATTTTGACTTTTTTTTCAGTAGGGTTAAAAAATGAATGTGACATACATGAGTTAATGTTCAATTTGTATAAAACAAGCTGGCATTCGGTCGGGAATTTTTGTTTCAGACTTAAAAGCAATTGTAAAAGTGATGTTAAGAATACCTAATGGCTGGACTAGGGATTCAGCAGCATAAGCGCCTATCTGGCAAGCATGAGGTCGTGAGTTCAATCCCTGGTACAATATCTAATGGATAAGTCTTTGAAAGACTTAGTAGACTTTATTTTAAAAAACAAAACAAAAACAGTTGATTAACCCAGGTAATTATCTTTGGGCCAGAGCTGGGCTTTGAAGTGCCACAGCCAGGAACAATGTTTGAACAGATCTGCAGCCTTCAGCAAATCCCCTGGGTACCTTCTGTCCCTTAACGGTTACCTCAGCCTACACCCTTACTGCTGACCACTAGATATCAGTGTCCACTAGAGGCCTGACAGCTGTGCCTCTGTTTTGGCCCTGTTGTCACAGTCAGTATGCCTCTTGCTGGCAGACATGTGCCTCTGTCCTGGCTGCAGAAGGGGCTGGTTTTTACTTGGGGCTTGGAATTTGTACCAAAATTGTTTGAAAGATGGTAAAGTGATCCAGAACTTTGGACTGGCTGCCACTGATAGCTTTTTCTTCCTGTTGGGGGGGGGGTGAGTCTTCAGCAGAGTGTAAGTAATGTAACTGCTTAGCTCAGTTGATGTTTTTGTAGCAACTTTAAGTGGAGGGAGTAGACTACTGGTTTAGATTCTAGCCAAGCTCGTTATGGTATGTCCAACCTGTACTTTGAATAAACTTATTAGGGGAAATTAGCCTGTTTTACACCAAGTCCTCCAGTAGGTTCTCTCCATTTAATCCTTACAGCAGTTTGCAGAAACGGTAATTGAGAGCCAGCTGGTTTTTCAGTGTTTGTCACAAAAGCTCAGACAAGATCAAATAGCTGGTTCATAGTCAACTTCTCTAGATTTGCATGTGCAGAAATATGTTCCTGAATGGTAGGAGGCTCTTTTTAAAAAAACGACTACAATTTTAAAACCATCCTAGTGAGGAAAAAAGGAGCTTCATCCAAAGAGGCCCTACCTAAGAAGATTCCCGTGGTTAGCTCAAATGTAAATATCTTTTTTTTTTTAAATGTAAATATCTTTATGAAGAGTGGGAGTCATCATGGGCCAATATAAATAAAAGCATCTCAGTTCATAGCAAAAAATGAATTAATTGTTTATATCCTGGGAATAAAGGAATTTTAATCATAACAGAAAATATCGTAATTGCTTTTGCCATAAAAAATGAGACCTGAACTGTTAAGTTGGCACTAATTTGGAAGGCCAAGATCAGATTTTCCTGCATATCCTTCTTTAAAGATTCAATTCAAACTTGTAGCGCTCCAATTGTTCTTTTAGTTCTGTTCAGTGACCACTGTACGTGCACTTTTTGTCCTGTGCTGTGCTATGCTACGCTGTGCTGATGACGTAGATGACTAAAGCAAAGTCCTGACCATATGTGGCCTACATACTGGTGGGAGCCAGCACAGATATAAATCATTAGTTCTAGTAGCTGGATGTGGTGGTGCACACCTGTAATCCCAGCTCTTGGTAGACTGAGGCAGGAGATTGCCATGAGTTCAGGGCCAGCTTGGACTATATAAGGAATTCAAGGGCATAGCAAGATCCTGTCTCAAAACAAAACAAAACAAAAAAATCTAAAGGGCTGTAAAGACAATACAAATGTAGACATTTCAGGCGCTACACTTTCTTAGACTTATCAGAGGTGGTCCGTGGAGAAACAAGGCTGAACTGGCATAGAAGATGGGCAAATGTTACAGCATAGTGTGAGCAGTAAAGGTTCCAGGATTCTGAAGGTTAAACTGCACCTGAACGGGTAGATAGGGATTATTAAGTCATATGAAGATGCATTATTGCTGGCAGGTAATGAGGAATCTGCAGACTTTTAGGTAGTAACTATTTTCATTTTGGATCGCTTTGACAGCCTTGTGGAAACTAAGGGTATGGAGGTCACGGCAAGGCAGACAACCAGTAATTCAAAGTCAGAATTTTATGTGGGCAACTGTTAAATTATGGAGGAAGATGGTTGGTATATGCGATGTACCACTTTTAATAAAAGGAATTTCACAACTCCAATCAGTGAGTAACTGGGCTGCTTAGTTAAAACTAGGGAGTGACAGACTCAGCTGAACTGGACTTGGTGCTCATTTCCAGTGCTTTTGCTTCCGGTTGTATCAGTAGTCAGACATCTGTTTCCTCTTAGATCTGCTTTTTCTGTATGTGCTTCATTTCCAAAAAAGCTCTGTCCAGAGGATTTCAAAGATGACTGCCAGCGGCTCCAGGCTTTTAGCTTAACAACAACACAGTTGAAAAAAGATCATTTCTTTAGTTCCAGAGTCCCTGCACCAACGCTCATTGGTTTGGCTCAAATCATGTGGCTATTCCTAAACCAATTCCTGACTAGTTAGCCAGACAAGGTCATACGTCCACTCAGAGCTGTGGATGGTCTGCCTTATTTCAACCATAGTTTGAGTAACAAAGGGTGATTCACCACTACATGCTGGGAAAGCTTTTGTGTGTATGTGTATGACAGTTTTGTGTCCAAAAATGAGTGAATAAAACTTAACAAATTACCATACTAACAATTTTGAAGGAATCAAGCTAAAAATGTACTATTGCAAAGGAGAAATAAATGGTGAGGGCTGGTGCAAAGAAGTCACAGTATTAGAACGAATGTGTATTTTTAGTCAATCACTAAGCAACAAATGCAGGTGCGATGCAGGTTCAACGCTGGAGGTACTGATTGCACAGGCAAGTGTACAACGCAAAAAGCTGAGAAGTATCGCGGGTAGTGCTGTGCCACAAACGAACAAATTCATCTAATCTAAAGAGGACTTGGCTGCATTTCAGCCTTGACTTGTCTGACAGTACCCCAGAGGAGGGCCGGTTCACTACTAGTTCCTCAGGGCTTCAGGCTCAGGAATCCCCAGTTTGCGGCTCCAATCTAGTTCTCCATTAAGTAGTGGCCAGCAGGGCCTTAAACTTAGGCAAATCCAAAACAACTTCGTTGGCTTCCTTCACCAGTCATTCCTTTCGTTGTCCAAGACTAAAATTTGGGAGTCACCTCCTTCCTTCCTCATCTTCCATATCCATTCCCTATATTCCAGTAACTTCCGGGGTCACAGGCCCCCTGCCCCATCCTTTCTGCCGCTGGGTTAGATCAGGCCCCTGAGTTCTCACCTGGGCACTGCATTTCCCTGGGGACTGTGTCCCTCTCCACTTTTGGCCCTCACAGTCCCGTTATAGAAGCCAGGATGATCTTTCTATGACGCAAATCTAAAAACCACTTCTCTGTTTAAATGCTTCCTCGAGTCCCCTTACATGGGAAGAAACTCAAGCTCCTCGGATCAGGAGCCGGGCGAAGGATGGGGCGTGAGAAAGCAGAGGTTCCCAGGGACGCTGCCCGCTAGGGGCACTCGATGAAGGAAGTGCGACTGCGCGCCCGCAGCCGTGCAGGGCTTGTAGCTGCGGGCAGGAGGACCGCGCGGCGGAACCGGGCGCCGGAGGCGGAGGAGCTGAACCAGGGCGGAGAGCGGCCACCAGCTCTGCAGGTGCCACTGATCCGGAGCGGGCGGCCCGGGCCGGGCGGGTCAGCGGCCTCCGGGCGACAGGGGGCGGCCTCGCCCACCGCGACAGCTCGGGTCCTGGCACCCGCGCCCTTCGCGCGGCACGGCGACCTCGGCTGCGCGCCGCGTCGGCCGGGCATGGCGGCCTGGAGCCTGGCCGCGGGGCCGCCTGTGCTCCGCCGGAGCCGCAGGGTGAGCGGCGGGCGGGGACCCGGTCCTCCGCCTTCCTCCCAGACCTTCCCTCTGGCTGTGGGGGTGCGGGGAGCCCCGGGCCCTGGCGTGCTCCGGGGCGGGTGGGTGGAAGTGGGGGGCCGGCCAGGCGCACAGGCAAAGCACAGCTCGTAAGGGAGCGAGAAATGCTGTTTTGACACAGGACTCACAGTCCGGAGTCCAGGAGTGGGTGCAGGGCACTGCAGAGGGCTCGGGGCTGGGAACCTCTCACCTTGAGCCTCCAAAGCCCGCGGCCGCGAGCGGAGCCTGGCAGAGGGCACTGCCTCATCCTCCCCCACGGCCTCATCCTTCGCTTCGCTTCTTCCGCCTTCCTCCCCTCCTTCCCTGCTGGTCTGCAGCCTACCCCGACCCCTCGTGCCGAGGAGTTGCGTGGCGACTTTCAGTGTGGGCAGCGGTCATCTGAGGACTCGTGGGCCTGTCACTGTCGCTGCCCGACGGTTGGCTAGGATGATAGGCTCCCGTGGATTCTGCAGTCCTTCGTGATTGCCCACCCTGCCTGCTGTCTGGTTACCCTCTCCTACTCCCAGAAGCAGCACAGCCCCCCACTAGCCCCTCACCGCTTTGACTCCACCCAAGCTCACAGCCTGACATTTCTGTTCCTCTATACAGCGCTGAGACCTCTAAGCTCAGCCTTTTTTCCTGACCCATGTGTCACCTGCTCAGCAGGCTTCTTTGCCGAGCCAGTGAGCATGCCCCTTATCTGCTCATTCATGGCCCATCCATCCATGCCAAGTTCCCCAAGGCCCTCCCCAGGGTCAGCCCTGGAATGCTCCCAAAGCAGGACAGGCTCAATGTTGCCTTTAAGACCAGGAGAGAGGGCAAGTGGAGCCCAGGGATGACCAGTGCTAGCAGGATGAGTCTGTGGCAGGCTGCCTAACCTCTCCTGGCTCTGTGTCTTACTGGTACCTGCAGTCTTGGGCATGCTCCTAAGTGTTACCATTTCTTTGCCTGTCATCACAACAGTGTCTTTCTCATAGCACTGTCATAAGGAGTTAAACACCTGTTGAATAAGAGCTTTGGCTTTGTTTCTAGAGTCAGTGATGTTTGTAATTACACCTCACTCTTCTCGAAAAACAACAATCAGTTCTGTGTCCTGGAGAACTGAACGACCACCCAGCACTGAATAGTCCCTCTGACAGCCCACAGCTGTGCTGGTGGAATGGCTGTGGGGGCTTGCACAGTGGCCAGCCCTGGGGGCAGTGGCACCTTATGCTGCCATAGCCCTCTTCTCTGTTCTGTGGCAGCTTCCTCTTCTCTACTTTGTCCATCGGATGTTTGCTTCCCAGACGGAGGGGGAGCTCAAAGTGACTCAGGTTCTCAGAGAAAAGTTCCCTCAAGCTACAGCTATCAAGGTCACCGACATTTCAGGTAAGGCTTTCTCTTATCCTTCCTGGGAGCTTTGATAAGATTTTGCCCTGGGGAAGGTCAGAGGTGGGGGACGGGGAGGAGGGAACTAACTGCCTTTGAGGAGACAAACATCAGAGAGAACCTAGAGACAAGGCCCAGCTGGGGGGACCTGAGGTGCCAGCATGGCCCTACTCAGTCAAGGACTCTCACAGTCACCCCAGAACTCAGGTCTGTGGTCTCTTCTGTGACAGCAGGATGGACCTTACTTCCATTTCCCCACATCAGTCTGTCTCCTAGAATGACAGAGCTCAAATGGGCCCTGGTGGCAGGTTTTGTCAACTGCCTTACTTTTCTCAGGAGGAAATAAACCTCTCAAGGGTATGAATGACCTTTCTACCCCTCGAATCAGCTGGGCCCTGCCTTCCCCAGAAGTTCAGGCTAGCTATGTTGGGGGCTCTCCCGCTGTACCCGCAGGAGGGGAAAGATAGGCCCTTTATCCAGTCACATACGAGGACAGCATAGCTGGGACAGCTAGATAGGGGTCCGCCTGGGTTGCCACACCCAGAGAGCTCGGCCATTGTGCAGATCACTGGCTTCACTGAGAGCACGGCATTTACACAGATTGGCAGAACATTTAGAGTGGATTTTATTCATGCATCTGCGGGAGGCTCATCTAAAGATCTGTTGGAATGAAACATCAGGCGAGGGCTCTGCCAGTCCCCAGGCAATGCTCAGGCCTGATATTACCAGCTCTGTACCTGCCTCAGGTCCAGGGCAGACCTGGAACTTGACCCTCAGGCTAGCTGTGCCCATCCCTGGATGAAATGTGGAAAGGTCATTGTGATGCGATGATATATAGGTGTACATATGTTTTTTGGCAGTATGATCGTACTAGGAGTACACTGAGCTACATTCTCCCTCTTTGAGATAGTTTTGCTAAGTTGCCTAGGAACTTGTGATCCTCCTGCTTTAGCCTCCCAGCGTGCTGGGAGGCGTGTGCCCCGCAATGTGTGGTCTGTAACTGCATCCCTGAGGCAGACCAGGGAAAGAACGATTTTTCTTCCCTGGGGTGGGTGCATCATGGAAACTCTAACCTTCCCACATGGCTGTGTTGGGGGCGCCCCCGCTGTACCCACAGGAGGGGAAAGATAGGTCCTTTATCCAGCCACATACGAGGACAGCATAGCCAGGACAGCTAGATAGGGGTCCACCTTCTTAAGAGAAGGGGATGCTTCTTAAGAGAATGCCTTGTAGTACCTTTACCAATTTCAGAAGGTCCTTATCAGAGCAGAGCCAGGCTGACAACCTTGGATTCTCCCAGCTGGGCCTTGTCCAAGGGCTGCCCAGAGAGGTCATGAAGGATCTGAACAGACAGGTCGGGCTGAGTTGCCCCAGTTCCCATAAAAGCCCCAAAGGACAGGGTTTTGAGAGCTTCTGCACAGTTGAGCACAGGGAGTTTCCAAGAGTGGCAGCCTACAGAGGGCAGGGGAGCTCTGCATCCCTTACCATACCTCGCCCTGTGCATTTCTTCATTTGCACCCTTTGTGAGGCCCTTTACCATAAAGCAGTGTGTGTACCCAGGTCTGTGGGCCCCTAAAGCAAACTGATTAAGCTCAAGGGGGTTGGGGAAGCCCTGCTGATAGTGCTGGTCCAGATGCACGAATCAGGCAACCAAGGGTTTGTGCCCCCAGGTAGTTAATGTCAGAACTGAATTAGGTCAGTGGTGCCCGGGCATCTACTGCTGCAAGTGCTTGCTCACCGGCGTGGAGAGGCCCCCCACTACGTGGGTCATGGAAGTGTCTGTGTTTCGAGTGTGAGTGTGAGGTAGGACAAACAGTATGAGTGGGTTTCCCTGCTCTGTCTTCAGTCACCGGGGCCAGGAAGCTGTGTGCATCCAAAGTGTAGACTCCTACAACACACTATAAGGGGAGCAAAGTGAACCAAGCATGGGGGTTCATGCCTATAGTCCCAGTACTCAGTAGGATGAGGCAGGAGGATCACCATGAATTGAAGGTCAAGCAGGACTACATTGTAAGTTCAAGTCCAGCCGGAACTACATAGTGAGACCCTGTCTCCAAAAAGAGAAACAAAGCCTTTTGAATAGGATGCAGTTCTCATGTGGTGGCCTGGTGTTGTCGGCACAGCCCCACCTCTGTTTGGTGCCAGCACGGCACACATGTCATCTTCAGTAACTCTGCACTTGAGCTGGGCTTGGAGGGCTCACCTCAAAGGCCCCATCTAAAGCTCCATTCCAGCCAGCGGGTGCCAAGTCCTCCCGCCCAGTGAATTTGCCCTCCCTGGCTCTCATGCTTTTTTATTCTTGTCTTTTAGATGAGTTTACAGTTTTCACACCAAATAGTGCATTTGTATTAGCACTGATTTCAGGTCCTTTGGAAGTTGCAACACTGAAATGCAATCCTTCCCCCACCCTCTTCCATGGCGTTTGTTGGCCATGTTCCCTGCATTTTCCACACTTTGCACCTCAGCACAGTGACCTTATGAAACCAAGAACACATTTGAGTGGAGGCTGCCTGCCAGGAGGGTGCATGGTCAGCTGGGAAGCTGCGACCTTCCTTTACAGCTCTCAGTGACTTTCCTTTATGCTGAGTGGTAGTATTCAGGCCTTCTTCGGATTGCACAGTACTTCAAGGACACATGGGCCATGGCTGCCATACTTAATAATTGAAGCCCTTCTGACTCGTGTTTATTTTAGGAGGCTGCGGGGCGATGTATGAAATTAAAATCGAATCAGAAGAATTTAAGGAGAAGAGAACTGTCCAGCAGCACCAGATGGTTAATCAGGTCAGTGGCAGTAACAGCAGTCCTTTGCCTCTGGCCTTCGGCACCTTACAAGGTCTGCCGAGTGGGCGTGGTGGTTTTCAGTCAGTATTTGTTGAGTCTGCAGGCAGGGAGGAGAGCTGGCCTGTGTTTTCTGATTGACTTACAGAGAGTTAAACACTTAGCTCCTGAAAGGCATTCCTTTTGGGGAAATTCAGCCTAGCTTACTCCGGAGGTCGCTCCCTGTGCCCACCCCCCAGAACTGTCTTATCCCAGCAGACAGAGGTGGACCAGGAGGGAGGGACATCCCCTGCCCGACCTTCACAGCTGTGTGGTGGCCCTGAGAATCACAGTTGAGCACACTAATGTAAGTGTCTGAATGTACTGGTGTGGCCATAGGGACTTTTGGATGATTCGGTTTGAGGATTGTTGTGCTTTCACAGAATTGCATGATAGGAATAAAAATGAAACCCAGTGAAAAGCAGATCTGTTGCTCTGCTCAGGGCGCAGTGTTGTGAGTCAAAGTCCCCACTGCGGAGGAGGCAGAGCGGGAAGTGACCAGATGTCACTGCCTAGGGCCTGCACCCCGCGCCAAGGCCCCCGTGTGTGCAGTCTGCAGGAGCAGGGTGGGAGGGCTCGGACCCCTGTGCAGCACACTTGGGCCTGACCATCTGGTTGCAGGCTGGCCTGGGGATGAAGCTTACCTCTCTAACCTTGCCTGGTGCTTAGTAACGGTACCCTAGAATCAGAAGGCCATGAACAGGTTACCTGGCCTGGATCTTGCCACAGTCCCCTCCCCTGCTGACTCCCCAGGGACAGGGTGACCCTGTTCCCTAGGCTCTCTCAGTTTCCTCCAGGAGTGGACTATCATTCCTGGGGGGGACCTGCTGACATATGACATAGACCTTTGCCTCCACTGAGTCACTTGGGAAATACTCAGCATTAACTCAGGGCCAAGCCCCAGGGAGGCAGGCCAAGGAGTGGCTCCCGTGGAAGGAATGAGCTTAATAGCTGCTGTCCCTCCCCCACTCTGGCCTTTTTCCCTTGAGCTTCCCGGTCACCACCTCTGCCCTTGGCTTCCCCGGCTCACAGCCCTTCAGCAGTCCTGTTGCCCACAAAGTCCAGCCAAATTTCCCAGCCTGGGCCTTGCCTTCCTCAGCGCAGTCTGCCTCAGTCTGCCTCCTTGTGCCTGACTAGAGGCCGTGCTTCCCTCACAGGAGCCTCCCAGCCTCTGCTCCTGCACTCTGGCCCTGTCCTTTGAGCCTATTCCACTCCGGCTGGCAGCCCCAGGGCTGCCTGATCGCCAACTCCTCCCACCGGTGTGACAGGGATACCCTTTCCTGTGCATGAGTCACAGACTGACAGGCCGCCACTCTGGCCTCAGGTCTGCTTTGGTGGCTTTATGTGAGCAGGTTCAGTACTTTGTCACTTACCCATGCCTGTCTGTGTCCCCAGAACCCAGCTTAGTGCTATGGGCACAGTGTGTTTACTGAAGCTCCATTTTCTTACCCAGTGGTCTTCAGCCTGGTCACTTCCACTGTGGGCCTCAGCTTTAGCTGTGAAGTGATCCCAGTGATCTCCAAGGCCTTCCATAACCTAGAGCAGTGATGTGTGACATGTGATGCCACGGTGTGCTTGGGGGTCCATCCACGGGGGCTGCAGAGGGTGGGGAAAGGTGTTGGGAAGGGGAGTAAGCAAGGCCTGAGATGCCAAAGCCAAGAAGGTTCCTGAGGGTGTGACGGGGGCCCCCCTTAGAAGAAAGCTATGAGGAGGGAGGCTGGCTGTGGCCCAGGTGCAGACACAGGGGCAGCCTCTAGGGAGCAGCCTGGGCCTGCAGACAGCAGGTATCCTGTGGACCGTGCGATCTGCTCAGCTATGTTCTCAGGCTTTTTCCATGGACATTCCTTACTTCTCTGTAGAGCTGAACAACTTCCCTGTGAATGTGGAGATGGAGAGTTGTGTTGCAGGCCAAGTGGGGCCAGCAGGGCCACTCAGGTGTGGCCAGGACTTCCTGACACCTGCATATATATCCTGGTTCTGTTATTCACTTGCTTGCTGACTTTGTATTAGTGGTAGACTCTTGGTGATGGATGGATGGATGGATGGATGGATAGATTAGAAAGAAATAAAAAAAGAAAAAATAAGGTGATAAGACTAGCTTTTCTCTAAAGATCCTTCAGATGCTATAAACCTGCCTACAGTACAGGTATTAGAATTATTTTTGTTTTAATAATAGAGACTAGGTTAAAACTAACAATCAAGCCAAGGGAATTAATTGACCATGTAATGGAATCACCTGGTATCTGGCATGTCTACATTCAGAGTCTTAAACAAGTTTACCTGCCTGCTCTCTCGTTCTGTCTCTGCTTTCGGCCTGTCTCTCGGTGTTGCTGTGGTCTTCTCTAGTGAAGATGGGTTTTTCTCTCCTTAGCAGAGAACGTGGCTTCCTCCGGTTGCCATTATTCCAGCCTGGTAACCCCAGAGTCAAGGCTCCACTCTGAAAAATCCCAGGGGTATTCTTTTTTTAAAATTTTTTCCTTGTTTGTCTCTTTGAGACAGGATCTCATCATGCAGTTCAGGCTGGCCTTGAGCTCACTTTGTAGCCCAGGCTGGTCTCAAATTTGCCACGATCCTGCCTCAGCCTCCCAAGTGCCAGGATTACAGGCTTGCACCACAGCGCTTGAGATTCTTATTGTACCAGTTTGGGTCATGTGCCTCCCCTGAGCCAGTCACAGGCTGGTCAGTCAGGCTACTTGATAACCCCCCTGGGAGGGTGGACTTAGAGTGTGAAAGGAACCATTTCCAAAGAGAAGGGAGACTGCTGAGCTGGGAACAAAGCGTCCACCCACCTTGATGATCAGGTGTTAGCCTAGTGAAGGAAGCCGTCCCCTCTGCACTGACCATGTGCTCCAGCACTCCAAGCCCCCTGCAGTCCTGTGGCCTCTCTCTCCCAACACTGTGGGGGTTCTGATCACTTTGACTCTGGTGGTTTGTTTAGATTTCGGTTCTGACAATGTAGCAAGTCTCATAATTTCCTGTGTGACTTTATTTTCTGCCCTAAAGTAAAATTGGAGAATTTATGGCAATTGGTAGAATATTAGAGGACAACTGCTCATTTCTTAAAATAGCAAATCATGGGAAACAGCTTTAAAGTTCATTAGGGGCAGGTTGGAAAGTTACACTCCATCCATGTCTGGGGTACACACTTTGTCTGTGAAGACTGAGGGTACACTTTATGCCAGATGGGACAGAGCACCAAGATAGAGGGCTAGGGAAAAAGCAAGGTAGAAACAATGTGTTTGGAATGTTAAGCATTTGTGTTTGTAACACATGGGTGGAATATATATTCATATTGGCTCAAATATGCATTTTTAAAGCCCTGCAACAATCCACAAGAGACAAACAATAATAGCTCTGTGTTTGGAAACAGAGGTGGGAACTGAGAGAGAACATCTGTGGGAGGGAGATTTCACTATATGTCTTTTTATACATTCTAATTTTTAAGCCATGCTAGATTTTGTTTGTTTGCTTTGGGTTTGAGAGTCTCACTATATTGCCCAGGCTAGCTTTGAGCTCCTGAGCTCAAGGGATCCTCCTCCTTCAGCGTCCCAGTGCTGGGAATGTAGTTTGCACCTCTGTGCCTGGTTCAGACAAAAATTTATAAAGGAAAAGTTGCTGAGTCAGAACATGTAAAAAGTCTCCTTCACGGGCTGGGGATTTAGCTCAGCGGCATAAGTGCCTGCCTTACAAGCAGGGAGTCGTGAGTTCGATCCCTGGTACCGATAAAAAGGAAAAAGACAAAAAAAAAAAAAAAAGTCTCCTTCACATACAGAGCTTTATAACAATACAGTGAGACCTTGGTTTACAAACTTAATTTGTTGTATGATTTTGGGGACAATGGCTGTATTGTGTTTGTGTACAGAAGATGGCCATGGTCGTGTTTGCCACCTGATGTGAGCAGAAGCAAAATTTTGCTGAATGCTTTTGTGTGTGAATCAGAATATAATTGTACTCTGTAATAATTGTCAAAAACACAAAAAAATGATGATGCTCTTTTACTTAGGCACTAAAAGAAGAAATCAAAGGGATGCACGGACTGCGGATATTTACCTCTGTCCCCAAACACTGACTCTGCCCTAGCTGTGTAGATGCTGCTGCCTAAAGCCCTGGATGACTTCACCTACAGCATTCTTCGCTGAAAAATTTGTCTATTTTTGTTCACAGAGATTTCTATATTATAATTATAGAAGATATATTATCTACATAGATGTTCATTAAAAGCCATAGACCACTGACAGTTTCCAAGAGTCATCAGTAATGCTTTAAGTCCTTTTATTTCAGAAGACATGTCAGTGTCCAAAGTGCTTTGTCCCTGGACAGTTCTGTCCACCACAAGAATCAGGACGAGTGCCAGCTTGTCGTGTTGTGAAAAAGAGTCTGTGTTTCTTCTCCTCTGTCTTTGTCACTTGCCTCAGCACTGGGACAACATACCTGACATTTGCAACTTAAAGAAAGTTTATTTCAGCACACGGTTCAGAAGTGTTAGTCCTTGTTTGCAGGGTGAGACACAGAAGCCGCGTGGCAGAAAGGTCTGGGCAGAGGAAAGCTGCTCAGTACATGTTGGGCAGGAAGCGGAGAAAGAGAGCAGAGCTGGGGAGGGAGGTTTGCCCTTCCAGGTCACACCCCTAGTGACCTGCTCCCCTGACCTGGACCTGCCTCCTAAGAGCAAGTCAGCTAAAGTGCCCCATGGTCTAATCCTCTTCCAAAAGCCCGCCTCTGAGTGCATGACATTCAGGAGATATTCGAGATCTAAAGGAGTAACTCCCTCTATTAAACTGCTCAGTACCCTTAGTTGTGGCATAAATGAGAAAAGAGCCTTAGCTTTGGCTGTTCCCTTAGTTGATCCCTTTTGCCCTTCCCTTCCAAACTTCCTTCAAGAGTGACCGTTCCCCCTCAGTTTCTCACATTCTTGAGTAGACTCAAAGATTGGAGGTGCCTGAACCTGGGTCCTCCACCTGGCTTTGAAGGTCCTTGCCCTCTGCATCTTGACAGGAGGCTGAGCCCACCTCCCAGAACTGGAGCCCAGAGGACATGCTTTCTCAGCCTTCTCCACTCAGCCATTCAGGAGGACAGCCCTGGACTCTGGGGGCAAGTGACAAGAAGTGAGGGCATGGGGCAGTCACTCCAAGCATGCTGGCTGCACTACCTGGTGTTCTGGGTGCGAGCTGTAGTGGTCACAGAGCCCATGTCATATGCTGGTGGCTCTAGATCCTTGGTGTCTTACTTTTTTCACTGTTGAAACATACCAGCCACCCAAAGTTAAAGAAAGAAAGGTATATTTAGCTCACAGTTTGTAGAGGTTTTAGTTTACAGTTGGGTGGCTCCAAGGCAGGGTGGCATGGCAGAGGAGTATCAAAGAGGAGAGAGAGCCCATGGCAAGCAAGCAGGGGAGAGCACGGGAGGGACCATCACAGTTTTTAAAATCCCTTTCATCTTACCCAGGCTACTTAGCATGGTAGCATTAATATCCTGAATCCTGGTGCCCTTGATTTTAACGTTGCACCATGAATCAATTTCAGCATCATACACTCTAGATCCAGCCACCACTGAAAAATCCCCACCAATGACCACATGAGGCTTTGGATGGACATCGAGACAAGCCATCACATGGAGTCATGCCAGTGTTGCTCTATAGCTTGATTTGGGCTTCAGCCACAAAAGTCTGTCTTAATCTTGCCCATTTACAAAAGCTGGCTAACTAGCATTCCCAGAAATTCTGTGACTGCCCCAAATCCTTGCATTAAACTTTCCTGCTCGCGTAAGTCTAGTGTTTGTTACATACAGCTAGAAGCCGTTATGGGTTGACCAGCTTCTTGCTATGTGACTGCTGCCCTCCTGTCCTCACCTCCCTACTAAACAGCATCCTGATAGGTCCATGTCCACCGCGAACCTGTCATCTTTCCCCAGTCACCATGGCGGGTAGGAGGCTGACTATCCGCTCCTCCCTCAAACTCTTCCTTGTAATACATGGATCTGGCTACCCGGTAAGTCAGTGGACGCTGTCTGTTCTAAAGGTGCCTCCCTGAGAAAACAAGGGTAGTACAACCTCAAGCCCCAGATTTCTGGGCAGCACAAACTTCAAACGCTGTTCACACAACTGCACTCCCATTTTCTGGTTTAAAAATACTCTCTGTATTATGGAGTTAGGAGGGTCCTTGCACATGGAATAGACATTTAGTTCCATCACAGCTAAGAAAGGACAAGACTAAAAGAAGTGTGCTGAGGGCCCGTGGTGCCTCTGAAAAGGCTAAGCTGCCCTGGGGACAATTTTAGGGACTCCCTGGGACTGCTCGCTCTGGGGAAAGCTTACCCGCTGCGTGGGGGACACACAGGCAATCTGAAGCACCTCATTTCAGGGACTTGCGCACATTTCTCAGGTTGTGCCCCTAGAAATGCAGAAGAGCCCCGATGTACTTTGGAAAATACATTTCTAGAGAGAAAGATGAGAAGTCAGAACTGGAGGATGCCAGGCAGTCTTTTCTTCTACAGTGAAACTAGAGGAAGCAGCCACATTGACACTTAGTGCACAGCACAGCTGTCTCACTTGGCTGGGAGTTGAGTAGACAGCAAGGAGCCAGCTGGGAGGTGACTGTCTTGTCCCTCCTCCACTGTGTGGAAAACAGGTCCTCGGGAAGCAGAAAAACAAAGACAGAGAGCAAAAAGTTAAAACAACTACTGATGTTCATGTAATGCTTTTAGTGTTTTCTTTCATAATAGTCTTTATTGTCAGAACAGTTTTATTTATTTATTTATTTTTGGTACTGGGGATCGAACTCAGGACCTTGCCCTTGCCAGGCAGGCGCTTGTTCTGCTGAGCTCCTTTCCTGGCCCCAGAACAGTTTCAGATTTAAGAAAAATTTGGAGACGGGACAGAGTTCACTCATAGCCTGCACCCAGCTTCCCTGATAATGAACATCTTATTTTAGCCTGTCATTCCCTGTGTGCAACCTCGTTGTCCTCTTAAGGGTGCATTGATTATAATTAATGAACCAGCACTGATACATGAAAGCCCTTCATTCCGACCTCCAGGTTTTCCAGGTCTGCTGCCCACAGCTCCACTGCATTTAGTTATCGTGCCTCTGTGACTTCACAGGGCTGTGACAGTTTCTCACACTCTCCCTGTCTTTGGTGACCATTCGGTGCTTCCCTAGCACTACCTTTAAATACACTTGGAGAAACTTGGGATATGTTAGGTGGACAGCAGTTCTAAAAACAAAAAACCAGAAGTGATCCATTGACCAATTTAAAGTTACCCAATTCCAAGCATTTCTGCAAACTGCATAACCAAATTTAGCCATCACACCAAAAAAACTACACTGACGTTAAATAAACATAAAACCACTACCAAGTTAAGGACGTTGGGAAATAGCAGCTTTGCCCAAAGAGAGCAGGTATAAGGTGGGCAGTGCTTGCCATCAAGTTAACAAGGTTAATGAAAAAAAGGCTTTTCCACAGGCTGCTTTTGTTGTTGTTTTGTTTTGTTTTTTGGGTGTTTTGAGACAGGGTCTGACGATGTAGTTCAGGCTGACCTTGAATTCGCCATGCAGCCCAAGTGGGCTGGAGCTCACCTTGATTCTCCTGCCTCAGCCTCCCAAGGAGTGCACCATCATGGCTGGCTCTCCAAAGGCATTATTAACCGGAAAGTATACTTCAAAAGTTTGGGAAGAAAACCATTCTTTTCTTCTCTTTAATAGAGCACTGTTGGAAGAAAACAAAGAATATCCTGGATGGAAACAGACATTTTCAGTACTTTTTTCTGGTAGTTCAGGCATTGACCAGGGACCGTGACATTGCCTGTTCAGTTAGTGTCACGTAGCATCATCTCTTCCTGGTCCTGAGACGTACAACTTAAATTTTTCACCATAGATTTATGCATGCAACCCTGTCCCCTTGCTCCCTACAAAATGAACTATTTTCTGAATCAAATTTGTGCAAGTAAAAAAAAAAATCTTCCCAGAATGACATGTTTTTCAAGATGACCATTTTAAAAACTAACGATGATTTGCCCCAGACTTTTTCAGTGTTTAATTTGCCTTCTTAGGTAGTTTGGAAATGAATTCATCAACTGGAATAAGAAAGGTCAGATTGTAATACCTTCATTATCCCATTTGCTTGATTAAATTCCTTTTTTTTTTAAATTTTATTTGAGGAGAAAAGAAAAAAAAACAGTGAAAGGGTACAAGTTATACAGATTTACAGAAGAAAAAAATGAACAGTAGGAAATCACTAGTTAATGGATTACATATTGCCATCTTAGAAATAATTGTTCAAGTCACAAAGTTAAAGCTTGTAGAGTGGACATTCCAACAATGATACTGCAAACAGTTCTGTTCAATGATCCAATAAAACTCTGTGATATCATTTTCTATCTTATACACTTAAATATACATGCAGTTATATAGTTTAGAGCACTTTCTTTTCCTCTCTTTTGTATAATGACTATTACACATTTTGGGTTTCATTGCTCCCACGGTTCTTATTGCTTTTTTGGAAGAGAGTAAAACCAAGTGTGACATAACAGACCAGAATCGGTCAAGTCAAAAGGGTGGACATAATAGATAATATAAAAACATAATACAAGGTGATCAACAATGGTTACCATAATGCCTCCCGCTATCTCTAATAGAATTGCCTATATCATTAGTTATAATACAATTGAACAAAACAGTAAAGAACAAAACCGACAAAACCAAACCATTGGAGACATTGTAGGTGTTCAAAAGTTGATTAAATTCCTAAAGCGGAGAATTTACCTTGTGCCAAAGAAAATGGGGGAAGCATTTATGGTTCATTAAAACTGATACCCAGATCCCTTTACCATAAACCTCCCCAAGTAGGACCAAGGGGCTGAGAAGCTGATGTTTTCTGTTTTTATTTAGCCACTCTATGCAGGGTCAGAACGTCAGAGCTATTATCTCCTTCTGGTAGCGGGACAATTAGCTGGTGTCACATATAACAATCAACAGGCTAATTGACCAAATGTTTCCAGAGTTCAACAGACTCTTTCGGGTCAAATAGCTATTATAGGACAATCATGATGAAAGCAGTCAGATAACTAGGTTTATGGAAAAATACAAACTTTTAGTAATGGCATAAATACCTGTTTATTTCTTTACCCAAAAAGAGTGAAGTTTTGTTTATGGTTTGTTCTAAGTAAACACTGGTAAAATGTAACAAGCTAGCTTTATTTGTTTGTTTGTTTTTGTTTTGATTTTTTTGCATCAGGGTCTTGC